GAGAGAGAGAGAGAGAGAGAGAGAGAGAGAGAGAGAGAGTCAGCCAATGGTCTCACTAAAGGCCTTCATGACGGCACGGCTGCCCCATGCACTCAAGCTTGCCAGGGAGGATGCCAGTGGTGGCCTCCAGCCCCTGCCCCGGACGGCCACCAAGCCCCCGCTGCTCCATGAAAACCCAGACCCCTGAGAACACTGACACGGTTCCTTGAGGGTGTTTGAAGCTGTAACATGGAATCAAGTGTTTTAATAGCTTTACCAAAATCAAGTACCATTAAAGTACAAAATCTAACCCACACATAGAGCTGTAAGAAAGACCGTGTAGATAGAGCAGGAACGTGGGGTCAAGGTGAAAGGGTGCAAACTTCCAGCCGTCAGAGAAGGACTAAGGACCTAACGCAGAACACGGTGACAAGGGCTCAACATCCTGTTGTCTAACTGAAGTTTGCCAAGAGTGCAGCACCTAAATATTCTCTCATGCACGTGCGCACGCGATGAAGAAGGGACGTGTCAAGGTGGTCACTGGGACAGAGCACTCCTTTCACAGTATATCCGCAACAATCACAACGTACACTTTGAATATCCTAACATTTTGTCAATTTAACCAAAATAAAGCTGGGGGTGGGAGGTGTAGAATTTGCTCAGGGAGAACCAGTGGACCAGAAGCAAGAATCTAAAAACAAACCCACACAAATATGAGCAACTGGCCACTAACAAAGGTGCAGAGCAACGCGGAAAATGTGACGGGATCACCTGAGCCCCACAGGGGGAGGGTCGGTCTTGACATCCTACCACATGCAAAACACCACTGTGTGGAGATTGTAGACAAACAGAAAAGATAAAACAGTAACAGATCAGAGACGACCTTATGACTTCAGGACAGATGTTCTTAGGACACAAAAAGCAAAGAAAAAATCCGGTGATTTCACTAAAATTCTGCAATTCCATTAAACACGTGGCAAACTTACAAGAGTGAAAATAGGTGAGCCCCACAGAGGGAGCAGCTCAGCAACACAGCCGGGCCAGTGCCCAGAGCACTGAGAATGGCTCCTGCCCAGCTCCCTGTCCCTGTCACGGCTCCCGCGGGAAGGAGAGGCACCAGGCACACTCTCCTGCACTGGACAAGGACCCCGGGACTGTCCATCCAAAAGAGGTTTCAGGCCCAGGAAAACAGGCGGTACGGGACCATGATGGGTGAGAGCAGTTCAACCGTCCCAGCTCACCGTGTGGGAGAGAAACCCCAACAGGGCCCACAGCAGCTGCCATCTGCAGCGCAGAGTGCCCAAGAAGAAAGCGGCAGCTCTCCCAGAGCCCCCAGGGAGGGCTGACCGGCAAGCAGGGTGAAGACTTATCCGGGGGCAGGGAAAGAACCACCCAGAGGCCGGGGGTACAGCCCCCAGAGGACACGCGAGCCTGGGAACAGTCTGTGCTCCCTCCAGCCACGGTGAAAAGCCTCCTTGTACACGGAGCTCTGGGCACGGCCTCAGGTGGGGGCCCATGTAGCGCTAACCACAAACTGCTGTGCTCCCACCGGAAAGGGCGTAAAAACAAGCCTCCAAAGAATCACATGGTGTCCAAGCAACTCCAACAGGTCCCAGAACAAAGGTGAAGAACATCCACACCCGAACAAGGTAAAAATCACAACGGCAGGCATCCACTAAGAGGACCAGACATGCAAGGAAGCTGGAAAACAGCCCCTGATGAAGAGCAAAGTGAATCAACAGAAACCAACCCAGAAATCACAGGTGACAAAACTGGCAATCGAGGACATCAACTATTATTAACTCCATCCCAGATGTTCAAGAAGACATCCAAATTGCCAGTAAGCAGCCGGAAAGGTGACCATCTCGCTGACCTTTGGGGAAATGCATACAGACAGCGAGAGTGCCACACACTCACCAAAATGTCCAGACTGCTGACCGGTGGTCCTGCTGTGGATGCGGAGCGATGGCCACTGTCACACATGGCTGGGGAACAGAGATCAACAGACTGCTCTGGGAGCCTCGCTGGCCTCACCCACCGAATGTATATGCGTACCCTTGGAGCCTACAATTCCGCTCACCGTGAACGCAGAAGGATGTGTGCCGGAGACGGGCACAGCAACGGGAAAGGAACCTTATGTCCGAGCACCACACACTGAAAACGCAAACATCTACCAAGGAAAGAGTGGTTCCCAAAAACCTGCGGCATCCTCCTCACATGGAGTAGCGTAAAGCAACGAAAACCATCAAGTTACCACCGCTCCTCGCGATATGCACGATGCACAGAAGTGGCGCTGGGCAAAAGGAGAGAAGCAGGGCTGTGTAGCCTGTATGATCCCATCTCTATAAATACTTAAAACAGGCAAAAATAACGGGGTGGGGGGGTTGTTAAAGGGCCAAAGAGCGGTTCTCCTTTGAGACGAGGAGGTCGTGGCCGGGAAGAACCAACGTGTAGGCGGCAGGCGTCGTGATGTGTGACCCGTGTGGGGCCGCGAGCCTGCGTTCACTTGGGAAGCTGTTCGCTCATCACTTGGGCAGGGGTCTCTGTCTGCACTAGATTTCAATGAAAATCACCGGGGTCAATGAAGCATGAAACCAAAACAGAAATGAGCGGAAGGCCAAGGTTATGTACACGGAACTTACTGTTTTTCTTTCCTTTTATACTTAGCTGGATATCATAATAATCTTCTCTCCTATCGGATCGATAGTCTACTTCTTTACACTGGATATAGGACTACAAATAAGGAAAATAAGAGGGCTTAAGTGTTAATTGTCGCTATCGTAGCGTTCTTAAATCATCTTAAAATCATTCTCTAAAGCTGGTAGCCACATACCACCATTTTGCCTCTGAACAATTTAGGTATGGTGCCTTCCACACACGTGCCCTTCATCTTGTTTTCCACATTATCAAGCAGCTGGAAGAGAAAGTTTGGGCTTTAAGAAAATGTGATGCTTCATTAACAGACAGTAATTCGAAACTTGACTAGGAAATTTCAATGGTCAAAGAAGTTCTAGACTATGAATATTATGACCTCCAGCATGCAATTATGAAAACATACAAAATCTTCGTCCTCGGTTGGGTATTTACAAAAATATCTACATGCAACAGTTGAGATTAACCTCTATACAGCCTTTGGAATGAATTAGTAATCTGTAGTGCCTTTAGAAGCATTTTTTATATTCATTTTACCTCTGTGGAAAAGCATGTAAATTGAGCACTAAACTTAACTCGTATTGGTCCACACCAAGAGATAAATGAGGTTGAGCCTGTCAACAGGATTGACTGGTTTGTCCATGGATATTTAATGAACTGGATTCAATCCAGCTAGTGCTGCAAAACAGAAAACACACCTTGCCCAGCCAATCACCTTGAATAGCCGTTTCATGTTGTGTATGTGTGTGACTTTGTGTGTGTCTGTGCGTCTTTGGTCACGACTGGAAGGACGGGAATTTGCTAGTGACTAAAGATGGTTTGGGGGAGAATCACCCGCACAGAGAGCTGCCTCTGTTAGAACTTCTGTGCAAAAGACGAGTCTGGGCGCTACGGAGTAACAGGAGTCCCTAGTCTACGGCGAAACAGGGCGGCCAGGACAGCTACGTCAGCCAATCTGTGGTTTCTCTGACTGGTAACTGGGGCAGATGTACCAACGGCAGATTTAAACCACACTACCTACCGCTACCGAAATTCAAGTTTCCCCTCACGCTGCCCTCTCCAAGAACAATTTTGTTCTCATTCTCTCTGGCTCGTAAACTAGACAGACGCTGCCTTTCCTTCCTGGCCTGGCTCTGTCCTGAACAGAGATGGGCGCACCTGAGTTGCACGGGCGCGAGGCAGGTCTGAGGTTTTACTTGCTACCACGTCCGACAGTGCTTTACAGCAGTCAATGTTAAGTAGTGTGCGGTTATGGCGGAGAACTTACCACTCGACACAGCTCCTGAACGTCGTGCTGCATGAAGCTATCTAAAGTTTCCCACCTTGGAAAGAGAAAAGGAATGTTTGTATTTATTTACAGTTCCAGACTTCAAGTAAGAGTAAACTAAGCAACTCAGACTTGAAAAGCGAGCTGTAGGACAGGCCACTATTCGTCAATCCATCTTCTGAGGGAATTATCTTTAGGGGTCCCCAATTTAAAGACCACTGAATTCTATCAGGGCACCAACATCTTCACAGCTCTGTCCTGTTCTGAACGTCCTGCGGTGCATAAGAGGACGTCGTTAAGTGGTGAATTATTTCTCAGGCCAAATTCCAAACCACAGCCTTTTATTACGGAAAGGACAAACCAAATCCAGTGATCGAAACACCCAGGCGCACTGAAATGCCTACACTGCGCTCTGGATTCTCCTACTACGCGCTCACCCATCCTTGCAGAAGGAAGGAGAAGGCGAAGAAGGCGATACAATACATACCCGAAGGACTTCGTTAGCTTTTTTGTTCCTACAGGCTTATCGCTGTGCTGTAATTCGTAGAACACTCTTTGTAATGCTAAGGGGACGCTTTTGGATGAATCATCACCCTCTGTTGGCATCATGTACACAGCCTAAAATAATTGATTAAGAAATAAAAATGGAATTTTATGTGAAAGTATCATTTCCAATATCACAACAGCTAAGGTAGTTGGTAGGGCTTCTAACTATCCCTCCAAAATAGCTCAGGAAACTTTTTTAAAGATCCTCAAAGTCTGTAGAGGCAACATAAAAACCATGAGAAAGCAAAAAAGAATTTAAAAATTTACCTACAACTCGCCATCCAAAGAGAACCACTTGTATTTCATACCTCTTGGAACACTTTTTAGCTTCACATCGCTTGTGAACAAAAGGTGTCACGAAACCTAAGTGCCACTGGGATGATCCACACCCCCACCCCCACCCCCGGTCCCGGTCCCGACTATACCATTCTGTCGTGGTCACTACAGTGCCAACGTAACCGGAAAAGCCAGCAGAGCAGACCAGCCAGTGCCTGCCCCCACCCCCAACCCGGAGTCCGTGTGGCCTGCACCCTCGCATGGGCTTCCGAAAGGACTGATGACCAGCTAGCCTGTACCAGACTCAGGGGGTGTCTGCGGTCTTTACTATTAGCGCTCTCAGGAAAATGACCTTTACCTGTATGTGAAATTAGACTTCACAGCTGGTGGCTTTGCAATTCAATTTTAACATAAAAAACTTTTCAGATGTTGCTGCTAATGCCTTTCATATTAAAAAAAAAATTTTTTTTTTTTTTAGTATCTCTAGCTCAACAAAATTAGGTTAGCCAGCAAACTTTTGATCATCCAAGTTAGTTTCACGAGTGTCCAAACACGGAGGAATAAAGATATGCACAAGCATCCCAGAGGGGCCCCCGTCCGGAGACAGCACTGTGGTGGTACCGGGAGAGACACAGCAAAGTCCGCCAACAGGACTTTGCTTGTCCCTTAAAACTTGAGAAGAGGGTGGGCGGGAGGTTGAGGGAGAGAAATACCATCCATTTACCTTTCGTAGTTGATTTGTGAAAAATAAAGTCTGCAGCAGGCTGTTCATGTAACAAGTCGCTCCCTGATTCTTTAAACCGACATAGCCCGTGTGCTTCTTTGAATCCCACCTACAAGACCAGTTCGAGGTTGAGGGAAAACCGCACAGGACACCGCCTCGCTTCCGCAAGTGCGTGTGGAGCGTGTGGCCACCACACTGCTGTGCACCACCGCCGGTCTCCCGCCATCCTGACGTGGGAGCGACTGCCACGCACTCCTCACCGCCAGGCCCCTGCCTGGGCACCAGGGCCCAGAGTGCTGGGCACAATCACGGGCTCAGTTCACCCAGGTGCACAAACCGGGCGCTGGAGAAGCAGCTTAATGCCGCCGACAGCAACGCTGTCCTCATCTACCGAGATCACCGCTCGCACGTACTGGCTGGATTCTATCAGACTGGCTCCCAGTGTGGCTCTCCTGCATTCGTATTAAGTCACGTGTGGAGTCAGCAAGAAATGCCAACGGCTGAAACCCCTCTTTTCTGCAGACTCATACACACGAGCGAAGCCAGGCATGTGTACCAGGGCAAGCTGAGCTCAGACTTCTGAACTAGCTCTCTCTCTTTAACCTGCTAGGCTGGTGGTCTTCTCTGAGCAGAAGGGGTAGGTCTTCTCAGAGCTGGCGGTCCCCACTGCACGCCCCTCCCCCAGCCCATAGTGACAGGAAGCTCGAGGGAATACCAGTCAAACCACCCCCGGGCCCATCCCCATCTGCATATAACATGAAGACAAGAACGAACACTTTTGCCACTGAGCTGTGGCCAACACTAGACCAGGTGTCAGGGTCAACAGTAAGTGCTGATTCCAGGGCTTAGTCCGTGACCTTTCTGACACACTTGGGTATACCACACGGCCCTGGTTACAGTATGTGCGTATCTGTGGATCATTTTAAAAATTGGCAAGAAAATGCAAGAATCCTAAATTATAAATGGTTATTTTAAAATCTATAATCACAAAGATTTAGGTGATAATGCCTGAATAGGTTGTGGTAAGTAACACTAAGCCAAGAAATCAGTTTTGATTGGTAAGGGTGAAAAACCCAGTCCACTTTTTTAGTCAAGAAAAGTAGATCACAAACATAGGGAAAAGGTTTTTAAAATG